CCCTCTCTAAGCTGTTTAGAGTCAGCCTCTTGCCCCCAACCATCTGGCTCCTCGTTTTACCAACCTCGGAAGGACGGAAGGCTGAGTCAACCTTGAGCCCATCAGATCAAACTCTTGGCTGCAGGCAGAATTAGCCAGCAATACTGCATTCTACCTACTGCACAGCCTTTTGAGCGTCTTTACAATCAATCCAAAATCCAGGATGGTCTCCCGAAGGAAACCACTGCTAACAGGGATTAAAACCGAGTGGGAGTGAGAGGCTATTTGAAACTCCCAGCAGAGAAGGATTCCGAGGCCACTGAACAGAAGGCAACCTGCCCTCTTACACACACACACACACACACACACACGCCCTTTCTCAAAGTGCAGCACTCACCACTTAGGACGGCCCCCTCCCCTGGCAATCCTGGGGCTAAATGGATGTGTGTCCTCCCCATGCGAGACAGGCCACGCTGACGAATGGCTGGCCAGTGGCGCAGAAGTGTGCCGTGAGCCACGGTCTCTGGGAAATCCCGTAGGTCCTGCAGCGGAGTTAATTCCAGTTCAGGAACCTGGAAGGGACAAGAATGACCATCAAGAACTTGCTGGGATGAAATAGCGACCCTCGGAAGGCAGATCTGAGCAGTTTGGGTTTGAATTGATTTCAAGCAACCAAGTGGGGATAAACCAGTTAGCAAGAGAGAAAAGCCACCGCTCTACTTTATGGTAAAGCTTATGCTGGCCAGAATCTTGGAAGTCTGGAAAACGAGGCAGAAAAAAAAGGGGATACAGGAGAAATGAAAGACCCAGTTTGGTGTAAGGGGTTTAAGATAGGCTTATCGCCAGGAGGCTGTGAATTCGAGTTCCACTTTAGGCAGGAAGGCCAGCTGAGTGACTTTGAGCCTATGACCAGGAGATGGTGAGTTCTAGTCCTGCCTTAGGCATGAAAGGCAGCCGCATAACGTTTGGGCCGGTCCCTTCTCTCAGCCCAGCCCACCTCACAGGGTTGTTGTTGTGGGGGGAAAAATAAGAGAAGGGGTATTAGGTACCTTCACACACACACACACACCATAAATATATAAAAGCAGTGTAAAAAAAAAACCTAAGAAAATCAATTACCTACTTAGGATGTCTACCGTTGCAGGAAGCAACAGAAAATAGCCATTTGCAGGCACTTTTTTGCTCTGGATTCCTCAAAGCTAAAACTTGTCCCTGACCCTGATTCCTGTGGCGAATGCTTCACTATTCATTTTTACTGAGGACATGGTTACAGGACCTCTAGGTATCTTATTTTCTGCTCCTGAAATAAAAGCTCCAAGTGTACACCTGAATTATCTCTGACCTCCTTACCTGTAGCGAGTGCCCTTGGTTCGCACGGATCTGGAGGTGTCCACCGGATGGATGTTGGCACAGAGCAAAACGCTGTTTTTCGTTCGTCTCCACGACACGTTTCACGTCCTCCTCGGACCAGGCCTTAAATTGGGGCAAACGAAGAATCTCCCCCAGGTCGACAAAGCCGTCTAAAGATTCAGGAACAAAAAGAAGAAAGGCTAAGTTTAAGCCTTGTGCTAAAAATCACATCCGGCTTAAGCCACAATCGCTCAGCACCTAAATCAAGAATTCTGAATGTACAAATTACAATGTCTAGATCTGCGCACAACACACTGTTAACACTGAGGATGTTCCCTAGCTGGGTAATGAAACGTCTGCAAGAAAACAACCAGACTCAGAGAGCAGCAAGGACTACACACACACACACACACACACACACACAAAACACACCAAACAAGCCATGTTACAACACGGCTTGAATCACAAACCCAATTTTTCCTTCTTCCTTGGGGGAGGGAACCAGCCAAGCTTTGATGGTCTCTGAACTTGGTTGTTTTCTTGCAGATATTTCATAAACAAACAAGACAACCTCATTGGTGTTAGAAGAGAGTGGGCTTTGCAGAGGGGGGGAGGAGGAGGAGGAGGAAAGGAGGAAGACGAGAAGAAGAAAAGAAGAGGAAAAGGAGAAGGAGGAGGAAGAAGAAGAAGAGGAGGAGGAAGAAGAAGGAAGAGGAGGAGGAGGAGGAAAGGAGGAAGACGAGAAGAAGAAAAGAAGAGGAGAAGGAGGAGGAGGAAGAAGAAGAGGAGGAGGAGGAGGAGGAGGAGGAGAAGAAAGGAGGACGAGGAGGAAGAGAAAGAGGAGGAGGAAGAAGAAAGAGGAGGAGGAGGAGGAGGAGGAGGAGGTAGAAAGGAGGAAGACGAGAAGAAGAAAAGAAGAGGAGGAGAAGGAGGAGGAGGAGGAGGAGAAGAAAGGAGGAGGAGGAGGAAGAAGAGGAGGAAGAAGAAGGAAGAGGAGGAGGAGGAGGAGGAAAGGAGGAAGACGAGTAGAAGAAAAGAAGAGAAGGAGGAGGAGGAAGAGGAGGAGGAGGAGGAAGAGAAGAAAGGAGGAGGAGGAAGAGGAGGAGGAAGAAGAAGGAAGAAGAAGAGGAGGAGGAGGAGGAGGAGGAGGAGGAGGAGGAGGAGAACGACGACGACTGTGGGGTCCTTGATGTTCCCTGAGCTTAGTGGTTTTCTTGTAGACCTTTCATGATCCACATCAATGCTACAAACGAGTGAGATTCACTTTCTTCAAGCAAACTACTTGCATATAAACAGAGAGCAACCCCTACTCCCTTCTGGCACTGATAACGTTATCTAGCTGGGTAATGAAACGTCTGCAAGAAGCAACCGAGTTCCAGAGACAGCCCAGGACCCCCCCCCCCACCTATTGAAATGAAATTCTTGGTGGGCTCCCTCTTTCAAAACCCTCGCTTTCTGCTGAGGAGGTGCAAGTTAAAAGCCGGGTTTGCCCAGGCTGGAAACGTGGCCGGCACCGGGCTCAGCTCACCTTTTCCTTCAGCCTGACTTTATTTGTAATTTTCTGCCTTTCTCGGTTCACGGTAAAAATAGTGTCCCTTTCAGAGCTGGACGTTCTGCGAGGCTCCCACGACTGTAAGCCTCGGGTGTCACCGTTTGACGTGCCGGCCACTAAGCGGGGAAAGTGTCATAAAATCACTCACCAGAGGACATGTGGAGGCTGAGGGTTTCTGCCCCGTGGCGCAAAGCATACGAGAGCGCTTTGGACAGACGGACATCTGGATCCTGGAAGGAAAGTTTGGAGAGAAACTCAGGAGGGCGAGAAGAAAAGGAAAAATAGCAAAAGATCCTGGAGAAGGGCAGAAGGAGAAGACCTGACCTGCAAGACGGTGCTTGGTTTACGACCGTTCCCTTAGGGACGGTTCCAAATTACAACGGCCGTGTGAAAGAAGGGACTTACGACCGGTCCTCTAACTTACAACCGTTGCGGTATTCCCCACCTTCCCATGATCAAAATACCGGCGTGTACAGGTAGTCCTTGACTTACAAGAGTTTGTTTAGGGACCGTTCAGAGTTACAACGGCGCTGAAAAAAAGGGACGGTTTTCACACTTACGACGTGTGATCAGGATTTGGCTGCTTGGCAACCGGCTCATGCTTATGACCGTTGCCGTGTGTCCCAAGGTCACCTGATCCCCTTTTGCAAACTTCTGACCAGCAAAGTCAACGGGGGGAGCTGGATTCGCTTAACGACCGTGTGACTAACGTAAGAACTTCTGTGGCAAAGAACGGTCGTAAAATGGGGGCAAAGTAGCTTAATCAACGTCCCGCTTAAGAACTGAAACGTTGGGCTCCATTGC